TGCCTCTAGCAATTTAATAATTTTTCATATAAAACGTACATAAAAATATTTATTCTTTTGTCCATTCGGTAGAACATTACGTCTTCTTCCAGTTCCATACTCGAAGGAGGGACATAATTCCGTCTTAAAAAAACTTTCTAATCGCGGGATTTTGTCAATACCGTGAAATGACCGTTCATAAAACGTCATGTCTCTGCATTTACCAATGTGGCTTGTAAAACTAACAATATGGCTTAATCCACTGCTAAATTTTATGAACTCCATATGCTCTCGTCTTAATACTATAGAGAAATCTGTGGTTTTTTGTATGCGGAAAATACATGGCTTGTAGTATGGAAATCCTGCAAACAAGTGTGAGGGCAGAGCAAGATCAAAATTATTCGGGAATCTGAAAAGTTTTTGAAAACCAAATTATACCCTTAATTCGAGTATAGAATTGGAAGAAGACGTCATTTTCGATCTAATGAGCCAAAGAACGAATATCTCTATGCATGTTTTCTAAGAAATATAATTAAACTTTTAGAAGCATCGAAAATCGATGAACAAAATGCATGCTACTTAAGCAGTCGTTCTTTACAGAGTATGGTTTTTATATGCAGGCGGAAGGAGGTATGTTTGAAAGCCGACATCCTGAAGCAACTGAATTATTATAGACCTATGCTGCAGGCAGGATAGTTTTACAGCCCTACTTAATTAATCTTCTCGAGACGAAAACGGATTTCGTAATTTCGGTCGACATGTCATGAGTTAGTCCATCTACTGTGGGCCTTCGTACCACGTCCACTTCCACCGTCAGTCGTTCCTCCGGCTCTTGCAGTCGACTGGAGCATGAGAGAGGCAGGAAAGAGTAAAGGTTGACACAGGGGTTCCGCCCCCACGACTCATCAGCCCATTCTCCACTAGGACTAGCTTTCCTCAAAGGTTGCCGTGCTTACGCTATCCTATGTGTATAACAGTCTGCTTAGACATGCATTGTGAACATTCAAAAGTAAAGTTTATTTTATTGACACAGAAGTTCGTCATTTCCGCTTTTATGGAAAAAATACTGTCCCGTTAACCAACTCTTTATCATTCAAATCGACATTACTTTCGAAGTTTCACTTACGTGAGTGTTGTTTCCCCTTAAATGAAGAGTTTTAATAGTGACTTTGGTGACCTTCTAAGCATAATTACTTGACACAATGCTGTAGCCTAGAAGGGCCCTCCAATAAGTCAGAAACTCAACCGAACGAGCAGGTCCCGTTACTTGATAGCTAAATGATCTTCTTCCATAGTTAATATAACCAATCGCAACCGACAGGACAACGCGCGCGCGGCAAAACGGATTGATAACTAAGAGAGCGCGGGATTCAAGCCTTAGGTGTCCTGAGACCTGAAATTAGGTATGGCTGGTTGGCAACGACTAAAAAAGTCAGAAATTGCCGATACAAGCGAAGATGCGAGTTCCAGAAACTAGCTGATAAGAAGAACCGATCGCTGGAACAAGGGCTTTATTCGCCTGACGTATCGGATTCTCACTTGAACCTATCATCAGAGACAGTGAAAGAAACGGGTTCGACGGAGGACACGGATCAGGCGTTTTCCAGCTCCGTGTTTACCGGGGGTTTGTACGAAACACATTTGAGCAATACGTTGATTTCGAGATACCTGTGATGAAACCGGATCTGTGCATAGGCAGCGGTTTCTCGAAGGGCAAATTTTTCCCATTGTCGGACCAATCGGAGCGCATCGCGCCCTAACAAATTGCCGATAGAAGCGAAGATGCGAGTTTCAGGAACTAGTTGTTAAGGAGTAGCGATCGCTGGAACAAGCGCTTTACTCACCTGACGTTTTGAATTTTTGCTCGAACCCATCATCAGAGACAGCGATAGAAACGGGTCAGAAATGGACAGAAAACTGTGAGCTGACGATTCAGTCTTCTACTTCTGTTCTAACCACTTAGTTTGTAGGTAGTCCCATATGTGCGAGAGTGCGACTAACGGCCTCGGAGACGTTCTTGATGTACGGGATCGCTCGCCAGAATTTGGGGTCGCACACAGACCGGAGGTCTCCATAAGGCGTCAGGTGATGTGACCAAAAGACCCACTGCCACAGCAAGAAACATCTGGAGTCGTTTATCGTATCTGGTGCCGTTGGGGGCAAAGCAACTACGTCGGATAAACTGGAAGACAATCAACAAGTGCAATGACATCCCCACTCCATATTCCGTGCTGAGGCATAGGCTGGTCAAAGTAATTGATCACTCGGGGAGCGCACAAGCTGGTGAGCCAGATGGCCGAGCAATCATCACGTCAGCATCCAACACGGGTGATGAGATTTCAGCCATCAAGCCATGACCACAACAGCGGGCAAAAATTCTTGGTGAGGGAGAGCGCGGTTAATTTCTATAGGTAGCGACTGCATCCTATAAATACTGCAACTTCCTGTGCACGAATCACCCGTTCCTGTCAGTCTCTGATGATGGGTCCAAGCGAGAATCCGAAACGTCAGGCGAATAAAGCCCTTCCTCCAGCGGTCGCTTCTTCTTATCAAAGTCAGAAGTAGTCACCTTGTGTTTGTTGGTAAATCCCCCCCCCCCTGAATACGTTGCTACTCGCTGTGCGACTGCCGATGGGACTCTGGATAGGGGCCCAAAGCACAACGGTACAAGTATGTCCAGAAGAACGAGACACGATCGCCGGGACAAGAGCTTTATTAGCCTGACGTTTCGGATTTATACTCGAATCCATCATCAGAGACAAAAGAGCAGAAACGGGTGGTTGTTGCACAAGGGGCTGCGGTACTTATAGGATGCAGTAGCCATGCTACCGCATACCTATGAACGTTCACGGCTCTCCCCTTCATCCGGGATTGTCGCACTTGGTGTGATCATTGCTTGATGGCCGACATTCGAGTCGATAATTGCTGCAATTTCATCACGTGCGTTGGATGTTGGCGTGATGATTGCTCGACCATCTGACGCATCGACCCCGGTGTTGGGAAAAGTGTTCACCTCTGCGCTCCCCGTATGGCTTGTTACCCCACCTATGCGAAGTTTCAGCACGGAGTATGGAATGGGAAGATCGTTGCACTTGTTGATGGACTGGGGGCCAGTAAACCATGATTCCAGTAGCTCCCGGCTCACTCGGTTGTCACCTCTTGCGAGAATTTCGGCCTCATCGAATTTAAATGTGTGGCCGGATCTCGTCGAATGAGCTGCAACTTGAGAGCTGGCGTCCTTTCTGCGCACCGCTGCCGCGTCTTCGGCCATTCGCTTTCGGAGCTGTCTTCCGGTTTCTCTGACGTAGTTGCTTTGTCCGCAACTGCACCAGATCCGATAAACGACTCCAGACGTTTCTAGCCGTGGCAGTGGGTTTTTCGGTTTCATGATCAGACGCCTGATGGTTGCCTCCGGTCTGTGTGCCACTCCAACCCCAAGTGGTGCGAGAAGGCGGCCGACAGCTTCCGAAACGTTCTTGACATACGGAAGTGCCCCCCCTGCATCCTATAAATACCGCTGCCCCTTGTGCAACAACCACCCGTTTCTGCTCTTTTGTCTCTGATGATGAATTGGAGTAGGAATCCGAAACGTCAGGCTAATAAAGCTCTTTTCCCGGCGATCGTGTCTCCTTCTTCAAGACTACTTCCTGGGACTCGGCTCTTCGCTTCTATTGGCAAGTATGTCCAGTAATCAGATCGCTTGACACACCTGGAACATGGTTCACATCCTCGATCGTAACTGGCATGACTGCCATGACTTTATGACAGAGCGTTCGTAGTCCATTCCCAGGCGCTCCAAAAGCCTGGAGATGGGGTACGGCTGGCTGATGACAGTTAATAAGCCAGAAGTGGCCATTCCAGTCTCTGTCGGCACTCTTACCATCACATGTATGCCATTCTTCCATCTCGAACAATAGGTGGAGTTTCCGATAAGATGTAATTTGATTGGTACATGAGATAAGAAGCGTATAACTTATGCACCAGGACTTCGCATACAGATTGCATATCCGGGCTATGTTAAGCCTTCTTATTATGCTATCCAGCGTACGCTAGGTTAAATAACCACCTACTGGGTTAAAGCAAGTCAGTAAAAAATCCTAAGTTCCCGAGGTGAATGGATTTACAAGGAGAAAAAGGATATTGTGTGAATTTAAGGCATTGCGAAAGTAAGTTAAACCCTCCAGCCCCGGTTTGCAAACCAGATAATGACAAATGCCATTGGACATTGACAACGTGCAACAAAGTAGTGATAAACGCAACCGCCATCTATCAAACAGATGGAAGTGAGGAAGCCTAATGAGAGCAGAAAGTAAAAATACCTCATCATCCACGCTAAAAGGAGGATCTTAAGAAGCTCTAGGGTTCAATGGGGGCAAGGTTGGCTCTCCTCGACTGACCCGACTAGTTATCGTAGTCTGCCTTTCGGAAACTGACGAAACGTCCCGGAGAGGAAGGCAGACGCGCAATAGTTGACAGAGCAGGGCACTTCTATGTTAAAGCGACTGATGCAACTTGGCTATGCTATCCAGTCAGTCATGTCATGTTGTTACGCTCGTCTTATCATTGATGCCAATTATTTACTGATTTTAATGACCATTTAAATAAGGTGAACGGTAAATCCATGGGTTCCCGTCCCGACCCCTGAATTAAAAAAAAACAACACAGGTTTGCAAGAATATATATCTTTTGAGTAGAGCTTAAGCTAACGGCAAGCATTATAATTATGCGAAGCCAAGAATAGTCGCTCACAGAAGGGGCATCATAACTGATAAAAGGTGTGGCCGGATGCGAAAATTTAAAAAAATGATATAGGGAGATTCCCTCCAGTGCATTGGGCGCAGGAGTCGCAGGTCAAAGGAAAAAACAACTAGGAACATATATGTACATATGGAAAGGACGGTGGTTTTATGGAAAAATATGAAAGAAATGCAAACTGTCCATGACAGGCAACTTTACCATAGTCGACTTTGGTATGTGACTTTGGGTGGGTGGATGTTTGTACCGATTCCAACATAGCTTGTTCAACCCACTGATCTAACCTCATGTTGTTTCGTTGTCTTCTGATTGGAGCTAACGGAGGAGGATTGGTGCAAACAGACCGCGCAACACGCTACGGAGTTGGAGCTCTCTGAAAAGCCGAGGCAGCCGCTAGATCCGTTTCCTGAAGTGGAGGAGAGGCATTTGGCAGCGTCCGAGGACTTCCCCGAGGAGGAGAAGGAGACACCTTCTGCCTGATGGAGGATATGCTTGAGGCCTGAGCAGGAGGGCTGAGATCCATCACCACTACCATCACCACTTCCGAGTAGCCCTTGCTTCAGAGGCCCTGTAGGGAGCAGCGGCGGTGGCTTATAGAAGATCATACCCTGTTGCCAACTGAGGGGTTGGTTCGTCGACCGTCGTTTCGATCTGCGTTTCCACTGGGTGCGCCAACCCAAAAGGTTCCCGCCATAAGTCTGACGTCTACGTGCGCAGAGGTGGCACCTAGAAAATGTGGAACTCGTCTTGGAGGCTGATGTGCCACTGCCACCGACACCCCGCCTAGAAAAGACGTGAAGAGTGCGGACGAAATGAGCACCAAGGAGGGACCGTTTTGGACTGGCGAACGGCCATCTACTGTGTGTTGCCCACTCATGCAGCTGAGGGGCGAGGCCGTGCGTGGGGTTCACATTGTAGGCGAACTTCAAATCCCGTAGGCAGTCGCATCGGTTGGGGATAGTCTGCTGCTGCTGCTGTTGCTGTGGTAACAGTGGTAGTTGTTGGCCACGATGATCATACCATCGTACACGTTTCTTTTTGTCACAGCTTGCGCAGTTGGGTTGAGCAAAAGCCGGGGCACAGGTTGGTGCAACAGCCCAGTATAAATGCCTCCTTTGTGCCCTCTGACAACATCGGTACTGGAGACTGCGAAGTAGCCTCTGCAGTCGCCGAAAATGAGCAATCAGTAAGAACCGGAAGTGGCGACTGTGGGCGCAGAGGATAATAAAATTTGTTAGGGTTTTGCCCAGAGTGCAGGAATTCTTAACTATGCTCAGGACACTCTGTTTTTCCCCGCTCATCTGCACCTCCCTCATGAGATCAATGGTGATATTGAGGTGAGGTAGAGGAATCCAGGAGAGGTTCTGCCGTCTGTTATCCTCCACACTTCCAAGAATGTTCTGCCAGGGAATACGGATCAGTAGGTCAGCAAACTGCAGAGAGTCCAGAATCAAGAAGGACACAGCCAAGCTCAGTATTGTCATCGTTACACGGGAGTAGATGCGTTTGCGACGCAATTCTGTCAATTCATGGTTATCCCTCGTCTCTGTATCAGAATTCAGCGGATTGTAGGGCTGATTTTCTCTAGCATTCGGCGAAGCAGCAGCGTAACTGTTGTGAACTGTACACGTGGAACCATTGTCTGGCGTTCCTGTCTGCACCTTGGTCTGAGCAAACGTTTCATCTAGATCCCCTTTCCCACACCTATGAGGTGAGCAGAGAGCACCACAACAACCGAAAGACTTTGGATGAGGACCGCCCGCGGGCAGGTTACTGTTTTGACTTCGCTGGATCGCTCGCAGACCGTAGAGAAGGATAATGGAAGATAAAAATACTAGACACAGTGGCAAGACAAAGGTAAGAACGTCCAAGACGAGGGGAAATCGATGTAGAGTGAGAGACGCCTGTAGTAGGCTGAACAGCCAACAGGATAGAAAGGCCAACCAGAGGTTGGGCGGCTTCTGGGCCAGCACCCACAGTGATTTCTCGAAACGTCCCCGCATGGGATTGGCATAGAGGGATACACATCGATGGAGAATCATGCAAACAATGTACCAATTACTTACACTGACTGTCGTCACTGCGAGCGTTCGAAGGACGTTCGATATGTGCTGGAGGATCGGTTTCCTGGAGAGGTACTCAGTCACAAGTGAGTTCATCAGGTAGTTGATAGTTATGTCTGTCCATACCTGATTTAGGAGGTAGAATACGCAGACCAGGCCATCGGAAAGAAGGACGAGTTTAATCAAGAGGACTCCGATAGTGGATTTTCCGTTCAGAAGGGCGTAGGCAAAGAAATTTGAAAGAATTCCGATTGTGCAAAATGCGTATGTTACAGTATCCAAAAGACGGTGGGAGACGGAGAACTTGTCATCATTCAAGTCAAATTCGGTCAGATATGAAAGATTGTTACTTCCTTGTATGCAACTTTGCTGGCTTTCTGATAAGTCTGCGAGTGCATATTGACCGATAGCGGTTTGCAGAGAAGCGGCGAGAAGAAAGTTCTTGGTCCATTGAAGGAAGAAAACTAGGGGGATTCTTTGGTTTCGTCGCATTTCAATTCAACTCGAAGGATAGATTCCGCACACGCACCTTCACCGTACTCTGCATCGCATTTTGGCGACCCTCTCCCTCGCTGCACACCCCGTGCTTTTTTAAATCCTCCACAGTGCATAGGCCGACTTAAGGTCGCAGACTTCGCCACTATTGGTTGTGCTTGCTACTGGCCAATAGGATTGTCCCGTTCAAAGACGCGGGCAGACGTTATCATATGATTGGCAGGGAGGACTTTTCAGACGGGAGTCCGGCCTCCGTGAGGCGTGTAGATTTAACCCATCACCCCGCAGTCGCAAATTACGACTACAGAAGGCCGTTAGTTATCATTTGCATTCTACTCAGCATCACGGTTTTCCGGAGATTTTCTAAGCAATTAGAAGATGCGCGACAAGCGAGTTTCCTCGTCTGTCGCTCACCGTCTCAATGGTACTGTCGGGAGTGATGAAGGGATAATTAAGACTTTATCGGCGATTCGTAGAAGTGTTGCCCAGTTGGAATAGACTGGTCCTCATAAACTGAAAAGGGCACTTCAGTCCGACGTCCACTTGCATCTTTACTCGTAACAAGATAATTCTTGGCATTGGCATTGCGGCCTGATTCAGGTTAAAGGGGAGAGGAGGCTCATCTAAACGGCAGACCAGTGAGGTTATTTTCTGAACACTCACCCCGGGCTGTGATGACGTTGCATTGAATTCATTTGCCCCTGACTGACATTGGCTCTCTTGAAATTCGAATTAATATTAACCATGGAGCCCTGATGAAAGATTGGAAGCCGAGGGTCGCAGTAGTAGATTCCCTGTAAGTGAGTGGGCGCCAGGTATGTTTGCAAATTCAGAACAGGGTGACTTCACCCGAAATGTATGCAGGCAAGTGTGTTGCCTTCGTAGCACATCTACGTTTCGCTATTTCAAGATGGAGTGAATCGAATGTCGTCACAAATTAAAGACGGAGAACCCCTGGGCAGTGTAGCCCATGCTACTCGGCCCCTCATGGGACAGGATTTTAAATTTCCATCATAGACTCTTTTGTCTATTCGCTACTGTGCGTGGGTTTTGGGAAAGGATATGAGAGCATGACTAGGACGTCGGATCTGAACAACTTTTCTATCTCAAAATGCGCGCTTCCCTGCTCATCGTCCCCCTTCGAGTGGAGGACCCTCCCTGTCTGACTAGGTTACGACACACGGGCATGAGCAAAGAGCCTGGAAAGTGCACTGTGCTGCCCATGCGTTCGCCAGGAATATCATGTGACGTCTTTGATTCCTAGGTCTTCTTTGCGCTTGGTTTGAATATGACAGGCTTTTACTGCCAACACGACGCTCCGACCGACGTCCACCGCGTCTAGCACGAAGTGAACGCAGTATAGGTGATTTGCGCATGAGCAGTTTGTAGTGAAGCACTCCTAAGCAGCATCTACCGCACTGTCTCCCCCCTCGCCCACCTTGCGAGACGACGCAGAGATGGTCGAAGATGGACAAGGCTCCAGTGGCTGACAAAGTAAAGCGGCCCGTCGGTGCATGCCACACACACACACACACACATGACCGAGTACACACTGCATGTCCTAGGTTTAACCAAGGACGGTTCGGATTGCACAGGCGTGGGAATGTTACGAAGGTCGCATCAAGAAGGAGCTGTGGCTGCCCGCTCTCACGGTCGTCAGGGTCGCCACCGTTTACCTATACCGCCTCCGGCCCACCTGTGACAGTTCTACCGTCGGTCTCGACGATGTCCGCCGTGTGCTCCACAGCAAGGCGGAGCAGGGACGGTGACTTGGGCGTGAAGTAGTTTAAAAATGAACGTAGACTTGCACAGCATCTACCCCACTCTCTGTTCTCCACTCCCCACCTAGACCCGGTGTCAAGATAGAGTCAAGAGCACCGGAGGTGGGGGGAGGACGAAGGTAGTTGGCACGGCCGGAACCCGCACCTAGGCGTGCAACCACACCCCCTGGTCCACAATGTACACTTGAAAAGGGTTTTTCGCCAACAACAACAACAGCACCCCAACAGGGGCCGAGTGGCGAGGATGACTAGGCAGCCATGCCCACCACCTGTATACCCAGCGGGAGCGCAAGCGCATCTACCGGCAGGGAGCCAGGTGTCAAGGAACTGCCAGCGCACACCACGATGCGAGGGCCATGGTTTGCTGATACTGGCATAGCACATGCTTTCAGACCTTTTGACCTCGAAGGGCGACACGTGGTCCTGCATCCGGCTCCACTCCACACGAACACACACACACACACACACACACACAACTGGACGGACTGCGTGGGCAGAGTAGGGGCGTCAGTTGGCTCCGGCTTACGACGCTATTGACGCCGATCAATATTTCTCTCTCCACCGATTGGTATCGGTCAGTCGAAATTCGGGTGTATATTCTTCAGCTGACACTTACCTGGTGATAACTGGCATTGCAACTGCGTGCTGAGCTGCGTTTACACGACATCGTCACAGTAAACTCTATTCTTCCATCTGTCTCTCCTGCTTTCCGACTTTGAAACCTTCAAGTTGTCGACCACCGCAATTTGACAGAGCCATTGTTGCTCGTCTCTCAGTCCCGAGAGGGTCCCAGCTTGTCCTTCAGTTGGCAACCTTCCAAGCCACAACTCTTGGTGCGTCTTTTTTGATTCAAGCGTGGATGATTTATTATAGTGAGAAACGACCTGCGTCACGAGAATGGGTTCCCCAGTGCACCAGACAACTGTCTGAGTCTGGTGACAGGGTGGGGCGGCGAGGGTGACTGAGGCCGCGCCTACGTATAATGCCTCCCATCAAACGACAGTGTTTTTGGACTTGTTCGGACTCGGCGTATCCCTATAAACGCGTGCCGTGAGTCAGGTGAGGTTACTTTTAGTTCCGAGCATCTGCATCGCAGTGCTCACGCGCAATATGGCACACTCAGCTCTTGCATAACTGAGGATGTAACACCTTCCGTCAAGAGAACACCTGATTTTACGTACTTACATTAATCACTACCTTAAGGTGCACAGTTTGCTATGAAAAAGTCGTCCACGTATCGTATGAATTGACTTTCGGGCCATGAATAGTCTCCATCCTAAGATTAAATTCACAATGGAAGAGGAGCAGTGTAAGAAGCAATCTCTCCTGGATGTCCTCATGACTAGACAGGAAGATGGTTCAATAAGGCTATCGGCTTTCCACAAGGATACATGGAAAGGCCGATACCTGCACTTCTTGAGCTTCGTGCCGATACAACGAAAGCGAAATTTGGTATACACTTTATTCCAAAGAGCAAGAAACCTTCGCTCTATTGAAACGCTAAAGGGTGAAATTTCTTGCCTAAAAACAGCCCTGCATAAACGGGGGATATCCAACACGGTTAATCGAAAAGTACTTCAACACTTTACGGACAAAATTGACGGAGCAATCAGTTCAAAAAAGCGCGTTGTAATATATTTACCCTTTTAGGGTGACAGAATCTCAAACGCCATTAAGCGGCCATTGAGATTCGCCTTCGAAAGAACTTACAACTCAGCTGAACTCATATTCTGCAGCCCCACTAATGCTATCCAAGTTCCACTGTCGAAGAATGCCTTGGCTTTGCATGCCATGTCTAACTGTGTTTACTAATTCACATGCATTTGTGGATGCAAGTACATTGGGCGAGCGCAAAGCCAATTGGCAGCCAGGTCAGTTGAGCACGGTCTTCTATAACAAATCACCTCCTTGATAGCGGTCATTCGGTTGACCCCAAAACACCTTTTAGAGTATAAGTTCGAGCACGAACAGCTCGGTTATTGCGCTATTTGGTGGCAGTCTACATACGGCGGGAGAAACCCGACCTATGAAAACAGTTAGACCATGTGGTCAACCTCAGCTTGCCCTGGTAGATCTGCGTCTCCTTTTGATTTGCGAAATCCCTCAGCGTGTTAACTTCCTCGTTTTCTTTCCTATGTTGCGTTTTTCAGGTTGCCATTTTATTGATTAGCCTACGTGCAATATGCGATGACCTTGGTGTTTTATATTGATTTTCTCCGTGGAAGTTCAAACATCTGTTCCTTTCTCACTTGTTAGCTTTGTCATGCAACGACAGACTGCAGTTGATAAGCTGTCGCGAAATCTATTGGCTCTATTAAATTCTGCTGTCTATGCCTGCTTTAAATTCATGCCGGGGAAATATTGCTTCAAGTTTCGGGCCAAAAGCAACACCCGATGCTTCATCCTAATGTTTACGCGCCAACCTGTGTACGTATCCGAAAAGGCGCCCTCTTGACCACAGAACCTGTCCGATGCGTTTATTCTCATCTAATGACTTTGGTGGTAACGGTCTACTTTGAGCCATCCACCTTCATTTAGGTGAATGTTTGAATAATTTAGCGCTTTTGAAATTGAAAGAGAAAACGACGTTATTTCAAAAGGCGTTTTTCCATGCTTATATTACAGTATGCGTTTTCGCGGAAAGCATCGGCACACTGGTTGCTTCTTCGTACTATTTTAGTAGAGAAAGACAAGTCCCATTTAGATTAAATGACATCTCCAGCGCCATTTTGGATGGCATATCGACAGGGAGTATTGGAGGGATGCTGATTAAGTCGTCCACATGCTTCGATGAGTGCTGAATTGCTGCTCGAACCGAATAAGACCGTGCATTCTACTGACAGCAGAAGCAATTGCGATCCGTGAGTCTGGTAGTCCTCTGGTGGATCCTAGGTGAATAACTTAGGAAATCCTGTTTGGGCAGTCAACTTACTGTATCAGACTTGGTGAATTCCAGACGTTGCAGTAGGTTGGGCGGATAACTTGATCCAAATGCGATTAAACTCGCCTCGTCCGGCGGGGTCTCGTAGCTGAAGCGGTTAGAGCGTTGGCTGTACTAAAACCTTCCCCTTACTGCGTGGGTTCGAATCCCACCGAGGCGCCGAGGTTTTCACAGTTGGGTCAATATGAATAATTCAAAATCTGCCAAAACCTATAACGATTGCTATCCGTCTTGCAAAACCGGTCACTTCGTCGCTGATGACCTACAGCGTGCTT